ACGTATGTATATATATATATATATACAGCTGTCATGAAAAATTTGAAAATTTTGAATATTAGTTTTACATTGAATAATGTGTTTACATGAAATCATATAAATGCTTTTTAAATTATTTTGTATGTTTTTTTTGAAAACACATCTTTTTTTCTCTGTAACGAGTTTAAATTTGAATGATAATGTATCTAAATCATCACATAGCAATTTTTGAATGATTTAATGTGATAATTGTTTTCAAGGTTTTAATGGTGGAGAACTACCTTGAATTAGTTCATGCCCAAGATGGGTAAATTACTTTAATATATGAAAAATTCAACATGTCGGTGATTTGTATCCACATTGATATGTACCATGTTGGAAAATTATCATCGTGTGGTTTTGCTGAAGCATTATTATGTTCGGAAAAGCTGTATTTGACCTCAGTTAAATTGAATGCCAATCCATCAATTAGTGTTCCTGTAACCATAACAACTTGCATATATTTTATTTATCACGTCGTAACATAAAAACATTGAAACGCATCACAATATGTGTGTACCATTACCATGGAAACACATCAAAGCATATGCTGTTTTGTTTGGGAATTCTGCCAAGATAGAATGGTCAGAAGACAACCGAAGATGGATGAACCAAATTCTCCATCATGCAATGTTATCGCTCATACACTACCCCTAGTATATCTGTGTACTACCGTAAAATCTGTATTAGAAGCCGCATCCCTAATAGAAGTCGCACCCATTCTTTCTGAACAATTGAGAACCAAAAATTCACCATTTCTCATATGTGTATATGCTCTAATAGAAGCCACATCCCTTATATTGCATTGTGCCATTTTAATAGAAGCCGCGGTTTCTAATACAGATTTTACAGTAGTAATGGCATACAGCAGTGTATTTCATGAAAACAAAACTTAAGCTTTACAATTTTTACGTATGATTATCATATAATGAAGTATTTGCTTAATTATTAGTACATACATTTGCATATGATCGAAATAAGTCATATGCTACCTATACGAGTATTCAGCATAAAGTAAATGAAAATTTTAGCTTATGTGCTTCTATTAGAGTAAATGTGGAATGATTGACGACCCGTCCAATGACCAGAGTGAAATGTGTTTTTTTCTTGACCAAATATTGTAATTTAAAGTTTTAAAATGTTTGCAAACATTGGTAAGCTGGTGATTCCAATCATGTGCAATCTCTTATAATTTGTTTTCTATAATTGTAATTGCTTACCAGTATATCATTGTCTTATGACAAATTAAATAATATTATGCCACG